CGGTTCAGCTCTCCAGCAATGCTCCCTCTAAGGGGTGGAGTCCTGTGAGCAAAAATTCTACTTTGTGAGCTGCTGGCATTAAAGTGGTGAGCGAGAGATTTGGCTGCTGCATAAATTAGTTTGCTCTGGAGCCCTCCTTCCTGAGCGAAGGCAAAAATGTGTGAGCCGGAGGCTAAAAAACTGTGAGCTGGCTCACACTAACTCAGCTTAGAGGGAACACTGCTCTCCAGTGTGGCTTTCCGTCGTCCAGCTTTGTGACTGAAACAGAAAATGAGCCTCTTTACAGAGCGAGGAGAAAACATACTGCTGGATGTGGTGTACAAGGATAACGCTCATCCTGTGTCCACCTTACGCCTCTGAGTTACTCAGGTGAAATCTTCTGGTATAAGTCCCGCTTGCTCTCGCAGTACTTTATGGTCTTTTGAGCAGCCGTTCTGTGCTCTTGAAGTAGGGCCGTTTGAAGCGAGTGGGATTTATTTCCGTGGAAACAGGTACAAGGTTGTTGGTAGCTGAGGCAAGGTGCATGCGAGGACTGTCCGGTTTGCATTCCAGGCTGTACATCAGAATGGTTACGTACACAGTGCTTGGCAGGACCACTCCTTGAGTAGCTGCGTTTGGGAACTAATTAATTAACTGATGGGTTTGTATCTTGTTCTTCCTCCGAGGAGCTCAGAGCAGTGTGCATGGTTCTCCTTTCCTTCATTTTATTCTCACAACAACCTTGTTCCAAAGTCACCCAGTAAGTGTCATGGCAAGTAGGGGTTCAAAACTGGATCTCCCTTGTTCGAGTCCACACGCTAAACTACACTGGCTGTAGTGTAATTCTAGTGCCAAACCTTCATAGTGACTGTATGACTTACCTGAATTTACAAGTCAGAGGAGGATGTTGTTTCAACTCATCTGAAATCTATTCTGTGTTTTCTAGATCCTAATATTTTGTTAGTCTTGTTTTTTTTTTCTACACTTGCAGCCTATACAGATGTGATCTCTGGTTGGAGCAACAAGGACACTGAATTGATGAGGGTCATAGTGACTAATATTAAAATGGGAAGTATTAAGCCAAGCAATGACTTGTCAGGAAGTAGAGCACTTGGGTTTTGTAAGTAATTGTTTTTATACATGACTGGTAGCAGTTCTGTAGTTGAGTGCGAATTGTTTATGGCTTCTATTAGTCACCATCTCAGCCTACTCATGTAATAACAAGTTTCAGCTTTCTGTTGGCTACTTGTGGTATGAAGACTTCCCCTAAAGATACAGCAGTCAGCAAATATGAAAAGCATGCCTGGAGTAGCTCGATTGACTTTATAATAGGGTATCTGATGTGCACAGCTTGGTTTGCTGTTTTTCTAACTGGTGCTCATAAGAGCCTTCTGGATGGATCAGACCAGCATCCTGTCTCACACAGTGACCAGCCAGTTCCTCTCAAGGATGAATAATAGGGCATAGAGACTGAGGCCTTCCCCTGATGTTTCCTCCTGGCACTGGGATTCAGAGTTTGACTGCCTCCAGATGTGGAGGTTCCCAAACATAGAGCTCATTTTATATCACTGTAACAGTATCTTTTTTACTTTGGCTCTGAGGTGGAGAACTTCCAACAGTGCTGAGGGATATAGTAAGTTATGCAAAAAAGTGTCACATTCCCTTGCATCTCAGTGTAGATTAATTTACATTGTTGTGTAAATCATTCATCAAATCACCAAGGAAAAATGCCATTTTAAATCACTCACTTAAATCATATTTCCTGTATTTTAGCTCATGAACAACAGTACATACTAATTGAGTGAAATAACAGTTTAAACATATTGTTTTGCAACTAAATACAGTCTCTGTAGCTAAGAATTTAGTTCAGAACCTTTGGTCCCTTAACCCACATGTCTTTTGATCTACACAATTATATCTCCTTAGAGACAGGTTGGCAAAGGAAGAATTGTGAAAATTAATTGATTTCTCTTTGTTTGTCTTTGAACACACAATTACTTGAAGGACCTAAGTAGCTAGAATTTTCCAGAGAGCTCATAGGTCCTGGGTAGTTTCAAAAGGTAGCTGTGTTAGTCTGTCATAGCAAAATAACACAGAAGCCAGTGGCACTTTAAAGACTAACAGCATTTTTTTTCTAATTCAATAGTAATCTTTAAGGTACCACTGGATTTTTGTTTTATTGATTTGTTGGGTAGAACAGCATTTTTTCATGAGCTCCAAAGTAAATGTCATTCTGCTATGTTTAGTAGAGTTAGATATATTTAGACCAGGATCTTTTAACAGTTTGGTGTAGTTGTTAAAGCGCGGACTCTAATCTGGGAGAATTGGTTTTGATTCCCCATGCCTCCACATGTAGCTGCTGGTGTGACCTTGGGTCAGTCACAAGTTCTCTCAGAGCTGTTCTCTCATGAGCAGTCCTCGAAAGAGCTCTCTCAGCCCCACCTTATCTCACAGGGTGTCTGTTGTGGGAAGGGGAGGGGAAGGGAAAGGAGATTGTAAGCCGCTCTGAGATTCCGAGTAAAGGGCTAGGTATGAATCCAATCTCTTATTCTTCTTTGCATTGTGGAACTCAGATGAAAGAAGTACAAAACCAAGGTGACCCTAATTGGAATACAGGGTGGTTGATTCTGGATAATGCTTTTGATCTTGTCAGTTACTGGATCCAGTGGAAAACCTGTAGTAATATATATTTTACCTACTGTGTCATATTTGTATTCCTTGTCAACGAGAGTCAGACTTTTTGCCCCCAGATTCTTCATATAAATATCTTGTACTCAGTTTGAGAGAGAATGGACATTCACTTGTTTGTATTTCATTTAGGTTTCATTATAAACCTCCTTGTTTTTCTTTTTTAAAGTAATGTTATAATGTAAACAGAATTAAAGAGAATCCAGTTCTTCTGTAAAATCAGTTTTGATCTACTCGGTAGTTGCTTTTGTTGCTATCACATGTATATTATTTTAAAATTGATCTCATATTGTGGTTGCCCTCAAAATTATGTGACATGTTGCTGCAATTCAGTTTTACAGATGAGAAAATGAGGCTCTTAGAGCATGTTTACCCCCCCAAAGCCATATAAGAATTCAAGGCAGAGATTGAAGTTCAAGCTCTGTGTCCTTGAAGAAAATTCATAGGACCACTTTGATTTTACTAAAGCACAGGGTATTAGGAAATGTTTCTTAACAGAACATTTGCCTTCATGACCAGTGTCCACAAAGGTGAGCCACCTGGTTAAAGGTCTGGATGTCATCTTATAATGGTTGCTTATAGTTTGCATTCAGGAGCTGCGGTGGCTCAAGTGGTTAAGACGCTGAACTGCAGGCTGTGGAAGGTCAGTAGTTCAGCAGTTCGAGACCCGGGTGCGGCATGATGGAGTGAGCTCCCATCTCTAGTTCCAGCTCCTGCCAACCTAGCAGTTCAAAAGCAAGAAATTGCAAATAGATAAATAGGTACCACTTCGGTGGGAAGGTAAAAGCATTCCGTGCGCCTTGGTGTTTAATCATGCCGGCCACATGACCACAGAAACATCTTTGGACAGCTCTGACTCTTCGGCTTTGAAACGGAGATGAGCACCGCAACCCTAGAGTTGGATTCGACTGGCTTTCGAGCAAGGGAACCTTTACCTTTTTACCTTTACCTTTTTATAGTTTGCAGTCACAATCTTGGCTTGCTTTGGAGGAGCCCCAAAATAAAATTGAAGGGTAGGGGTGTGTGTGAATGTGTGGGAAAACACTGGACTTTAAATTCTAAACTAAATAGTTAAATGTTCTTTAATAAAGTATAGCAAAATAATCATTATATAGGAAACGCTCATACTATCAGTTAGAAGGTAAAAGACCAAATGCATTTCAACATCTTTTAGTTTGATAAATACATACTTTTATTCAGTAATCTTTACACACATAAGTAACAATTAAGATTATGTTGGTTACCTTTAGGTTATTGAAGATTAGCTTTTAAAGGTTGAGCATGGTTAAACAAGAAATTATTTTGGGCATATTATCTGCAATAACTTGTCTGTTTTATACTTATTTTTAAAATAGGATTCAGGTGTACCTTTTCAAAATATGTTTTTTTATGGCTGATCACTGATGAAGAAATCATTGTCAAAATTGTCAAAATGTGTCTGGTCTTTTTCTTCTGATTGATAGTATGAGTTTAATATGTTGTGGTTATTTTGCTGTACTTATCAAAGGACTTTTATTATATTGTTTATAATTTATTGGACTTAGTTTAATGCTTATATATATATATAGAGAGAGAGACAGACAAACACATACATATACCTCCACTGCGTTTTGGTTTTGTTCTTCCCCTTTGCATGCTTTTGCTTTGGAGAAGTTCTGTAGACATGCATTAACAATGTTAGGTCTGCGGCACACGTGACGTGACTCTACCATTTAATTATCAGTTGTATGGTTGCAAATGGATCACCAAGGATATCGAATGCAGTTATGGGTATCTCAACTGCATGTACAGGTATCTAGTATCAGTGTAGCTAAACAGGGTATGTTACCTTGTGTACAGAGGAATTAAGCATGGATCTGTTCTTGGTTTCAGTGTAATGGTAATAGATGACTGTATTATGAGATCACAGTTAAAGCTGATACTGGTCAACAGAACTGTGTATGAAGATGCCAACCTTGATGACTATGAATTGTTCTCATCCTCACGTTGTGTGACTGGTACAATCCATGCAGTTCCACTTGCCTAGTCTTGATCATTATTCTGCATGTAGATTTCTTCAGGTAGAAGAGAGAAGAAAGAATGTTGTTTGCTTGACCTTGGATGAAATCACTGGAGAAGATGATCCAGAGTTTTGGGTTTCACTGCGATATGCTGATTTATCCCTTTTCTCTCTCTCACCTTTTGAATCTTCAGGAGGCAGCAAAAATTTTGAAGTAGGGTTGGGTAG